CACCCTTCAAACAACCAGCCTGAACTATTTACCTGTGAAAGGCAGTCTAGTATTGTAAAAAGCAAGGAAAATATTAAACCAGATTTCCTTAAACGAGAAGGTATTAATTTATAGCAAAATAACTGAGTAAGTGCAATATTAGACAATTACGTCTTTCTAGTGAACGAAGCTCGGCTGTGAACTCAGGGCGGTTTGAGACCAGTCTAACCAATAATCATCCTAGAATGCAATGTAAGCTTTGTTTTCTTTTTTACTTTTGACCCTTTTTTATGTAACTGTTTCAGGTTTTCTTCAATCTGACGAAAAGCTCAAGTTAAATATCTTATGCGCAAACAAACAAAGATATTGTAGTGTTTTTTCCTTTCACCAATTGCTGCCCTAAACAAGCAAAACCAGTTTTGACGGTTAAACATTGCTTTGCATCGTGGCGACGGTGGCGACTGAAAGTCTCGCTACTAACGAGGTTTGGAGTCCGTTTTAAAAGACGCCCATTGATAAAAGTCACGCTACTCGAATAGAGTGGTCATAAGAAATGATTGATGTTTTGATAAGAAGAGAAACGGAGAAAACTGCAAGATCAAAAACGCAGAAGGACTAAAGGGTTTTTTTTCTGTCAGTGTTGAAACCATAAGAGCCTTTTTTAAAACATACAAATTTACCTCTGGCGTGAGGTAAATCATACAATGATAGTTTGCTAATTAAGAAAAGTTAAGATAGAAAAGAACGAACAAAAACTTGAAAGAGGATGATGTAACAGACTAATTGATATGCGCCAAAATTTTCAATATGCTCAAGCCATGATCTTGCTAGATCCTAAGTTAAGAATTTTTGATAACTCGATCCTTCTTACAACCACAACTGAAAATTTTTTTCTGGTGTTCTCTATTTTTGTACGTCCTTAGGTGATCATAATTAAAATCGTGTATTATATTTTGCATATAATCATTTTAAATTGTTGGGTTGTGAACTTTGATCGAAAATGACATATATTGATTCAAAGTCCTTCAAATATGTGCTATTTTTGCCCATTATTCTTGTCTACAACAAACCCCATGGAGGCCTTTCAGTTTACCACAAACTTAATTAACCCATAATAAAATAATAAGCAGAAAATATCAAAGCCTAAGGCTGTTTCTGAATGGGAGACAATGAACTTTTATAGATAGTCGAAAACCAAAGAATTCACAAGGAGCGCGTCTCCATTCTGGAACTTTTTCAGGAAACGAAATTGCATTTTAATTTTTTTATTTATCTATTTATTATTTTTTTTGCAGCTAGTTGTGATGAAAAGTATGAAATCCTAGAGGTACTGTTCAGCATATTTTTTTTTTTACTAATTGAGCGAAATTCAACTTCGAGTATGTAATTTCTGCTTATCTAAAGGAACTTAGCTAAAAAGAAAAAGAAATCAATTGAAGCGGTCACCCATTTCTGGTAGGTTGCTCACCGTGCTCGCTGATCGAAACCCTCGACGAACATTGAATGAAATAAAAGTGCTAGAAGAACTACGGAACTTTAAGCAACTGCACATACCCATTAAAAAAATTATTCATCCTGGCCTGCTCCATGCTATATTTGAAGAGGTACATGGGAATTTTTAGCATCAATTAAAGATAGCACAAGGACAAGAAATAATTTCAATAGCGCGTCCATATGTATTCATTCGTCAGTTGATCTCAACACAATAGAATTGGAAAAAAAACAACAACCCACAAACTTAAATACATAGCATGGCAAAAATTGCAAGAAAAGAGATGTGATCAATTGATATGCTCATCATTCCCTCAGCGAATGACATTGGTTGCAAATGGATGTTCAAAAGTTCTCTTTAAAGACTATACACTATTCGGACTGACTTATAATTATAAATCTAGGCAAGACCAAAGAAATAATATAATTTCTTGATTTGAGTCATTCTAAACCAAACCCAAGTACGAAATTAAGGCGAGTAAACGTAAAATTCCTAGAAACGGTATTTGCACAACGGGCGGTATATCGATAGCTGTGTTGCTACACGCGTTGCTAGACTACCATAAGATGCCTTTTCATTGAAATAGCTCGTCGACTATTGTCTTGAAAAGTCATTCTTCTGGAATATTGAGAGATCTTAGAGTACATGAATCTGAAAACCTGAAGGATGAATAATCCTTTTTTCATGTGGCAAACATGTGGAAATGATATCTTCTGAAGCCTTCTGAAAATACTGCAATTTCGTAACTATCGGGCATAAAGAAACATGTCTAAATTATGTGAAGATATATTACCGCACTTATCGCCTAGGCAACAAGTCTTCCCGCAGAATTGCTTCAGTCACACCTCGATATTTAACTCGCAGTCCATGCAGACACAGACTTTGCCATGGCGCCGATTAAGAAACAGAGCTTTAATAATGTGCATCCAGTCAAGAACTATTTGGTTTCATTAAGCATCAGTGGGTGTTAATGAACTTTCTTTTGTCGGGGTGGGGGGAGGGGAGGGGGGGGAAGGGGGATTTGGGTGAAAGAGAAACGGAGTGAGGAAGGTATGATGACAAGCTAAACATGATGAGCTGACTTAAGATTCCTGTGACCTAAGGTAGATAAAACAACACTGAAAGTATATTTTTTCTTTGTTTTGTTTTGTACATAGCAATCGTTTTAAAACTTTAACACGAAGAAGAGCGACCCTTCCCTCTCCTTTTGTTTTGTGCGGTGTTAGTTTATATATGCGTTTCGCAGGTAACCATCTTGAAATCACGTGACATTAAATGATTGGTTTTTGCCCACGTAATTATGTTGCATTGTTTAGAACAGAACACGACACATGCATTAACTTAAAGAGAAGCACGACACAAATTAACAGTTTTATTGTCTTGAATTTCTTAGAAGGACCTGAGAATTGGGGATTTCGTAGTCCTATATATCATGATTGACTTCCGTTTGCAATTGGCGAAAGGAAATAAAATCGCTTTCAGTCACAAGAGTTTCTACTAATTTTTAGATCAAAGATCTTTTACCAAGCTTGACACAGCTGTTCGTTGTCGTGACTTTTGCGAATAAATGTATTTCGAACATTGATCCTAAAATTCTTCTGCTTTAAACAAAAACACTAGCGAAGCAAACAGGTCCTTATCACGAAATGAACCTTAATCAGGCACGGAAATCATCTAATTGACACACGAAGTGCACTGTAACAAAGCCGGTAACCTATATGCATGGAATGGAGACAGTTTATTCACACTTGCCGTGAAATCTTCGAAGCACGTACAAGAGCTATTGAAAAGATCAATTCTTGGGAAGTCTACTTCACACGACCCGATGTAAACCAATCGTTAAAATGATGAAAACCAATTGTTAGAAAATGATTGTGCGTTTAAGTGAGAAAATCGAAAATGATTTAAAAATACATACATAGACCAAGAAAGTCTTGTAACCAGAAGAATTAAAACAAGAAATTGAAAAAAAACCTAAAACACCAGATATCTGCCTGAAATTGAAGCCGTTACAACCCCTTGCGTTTTCTCTTTCCTCTCTGAAAAACCAATGGGCAATTAAAATTGAAGCATCAATAATGTATCTCATGAGAGCGGGCTGGAATAAATTATCACGACGACAATGGTTTAATTTACACTTTCGCTCTCCCTAGGTGACTGCAAAAAAAACCGCTTGACTTCGGCTGAATTTGTCTAAGCTTTCCTTTTTTAAAGAACTACAACCAGCCTTTGCCTAAATACTAACCTGTAAGTTATTTTCAAACCGGTAACAACCTTCCACCTGTGCCAGCGTTAAACGATATACAGATCACCATAAATACGACTTTTCACGTCAGTCACGCAAGTTCAAAATTGAAAGACGAAACATCTCGTTTGCAATTGTTTAAGAAAACTGTTTTCCTTTAAGAAAATTAAGTGAATTCGCTTAGAGCCTGCGCAACACTCCGCAAAACTTTAAGCCAACGGATGGTGCGACAACGGCCTATGAAAGGACTATGGCTCTTTTTTTCTCTTTTTTAAACTAGACATGTGCGCTTTTCTTCTTACAATTTAATATTTGCGGAGTTCATGTATGTAATGAAAAAATTACATCTCGAGTCCGCAAAATGACTAAAATAGTAAGTCGCAGCTTGTTGTCCTTAACCTCGAATTGCCACCCGCTTATTTTGCTTCAGTCACATGTGTGCTTAACTGCCTTCTCACAAAACAATTTTCTTTGTTGGAAGTCGAGGATTCCTCGCTTTTTCATCACCAAAATAAAAGAAGATCTTAGACTTCCACAGTTGTTACACTCTTAATCCTGTTTATGATAATATAATGAGAGCACACTCAAGAAAAGGAACCGAACGTGTTTAGTTGTAATGGAACATTTTCGCGCTGCAGGTGAATTGAGTGTTAAGTTAATTTTGATATTAGGTCTTATGCTACTCACAGTTTCTCATCACCAAGCCTTCAGACAGCAATTGGCCGAGATCTTCAAATGCCAAGTAAGGAAATCAAAATCCAAAATTCTGGCAACCTATTTCTGAGCTTATAACAGTTGTTCATTGAAGTGTTAATACCCCTTTGGCAAAACAAATGACCGGCCGTTGTCAGTGACTTGTCGCAACTTGTTAAAGACTTTGTAAACTGAATTACATTTTCAAGGGTGAATATTTTCGCCAAACTTTTGCCGAAAATGCCAAATGAAGCTCGTTTCATGTGTGAGCCATGTATACACACGTATAACTATTTCGAAAAGATATTGGAGAAAGAATGGGGTAAAACTTTGTAAATATGTACTCTATATTGAATACGTAATGTTTGATTACAAGATAAACACGCTTGAAGAAAATTATATAGGCCACTTTTTGCCAAAACTATCAACGTCAACGTGGTGAGCTTCAAACCTCTAGGACAATTTATCAAGCATTTCCCAGTAAGTAGGTGTTAAAGACCGCTTATAGCTCAAGATGGAAAATTAGAGATCGTGAAATTAAGGCACTTAATAAATCATAAGAGAATTTGTAAGTAAACCGCTATAACTTACCTCAGAAATCCGAGTATTGAATCACTCAATGCTCTCTTGACTGGTTTACAGTTTCGCTCTTTCGAATATTTGTCTAGTATCCGCTTGTTTCGAACTCTGCAGTGTTTCGACGCGTTTTCGAAACTTTTTAGTGTTGATCCAAACGCCGCAGAGGTGATAACATAAAAGCCGACAATTACATTGTATTAGGGGATTTCATTGTTTCGTAAGCTGTCGTCACACCTTTTGTATACAATACAAACAGCTCTCCGTACTAACCTAATGTATTCAAATTTGCCGTGGCCAGTATTCACCACTATAATGTCGATATCACGCGATATTGGAATAGGAAGGGGTAACAGATGATTCAGATGACTTTGTTTGAACGCAGAACCATTATACGACAAAAGCACCGCGTTTCTTTGAGAGCGCGCGAAAAAAATTACATTTTCGTTAGAGCTGGTGGAACAAGCTTCGTGTTTACATATTCCACATGAATCAGTCTTTTATTAATGGCACCCTGTCGAAATGAACTGCTCTTCAGTTGTTTCAGAGCAATCAATTTAATTGAAACCGAAAACAAGTTTGCTGGGTTCTAGTTACGGTTTGTCTTGCTGCAGCGCCAAAATGACCCATTAAAATCGCTTTTCTCGATGACCTGGCTTGCCTCGTCCGCTTTGTCATGCAAATTCCAGCTTCATGCACGGTTTTATCGCCTGAACTGTTTCGAACGTTCAATTCGAATAAAAAAAAATTCAATTTTTACATGTTGATTATCGTGTAAACAATAGTACGATTGAAAAGGTTAAAGTGAAAGGATATTGGTGAAAATGAAGCACGAGTTTGCTTTTGAAAGCCAAAATTTTCGTAACTTCGTTGATACCTGTCTGATCTTTCGACGTGTTTCTGTTTAAGAAAAAAAAATGGGAAGAAGAAAAAAAAATCAACCATCGAATCTAATTGGTGCGTGTATTGTTAGCCTGTACCTTAAGAGTTATAATCATTGAACCTTGACATATTTTCATAGCTAATCTGTAAACACTTTCTTACTTGTGTTTTGATTTCGATATCAACTTGCAATTGAAATATTAGAATCGTGTGATTCATTATTGTTTCAGAACGTGACACGTTACACCGGAATCGATACGCAAAGCGTTTTTAGACTCTATCTTGGTGCACAAGTAAAGAATGGGGCCATTGAACGATATTTATAGAGCGTATAAGCTCACTACCCGCGAAACCCGTTATCTTGTTAATTGCGAACCGAGCAGATGACTGAAATCTTGTACGTGAAAGTGTTCCTCTTATCAATGATTACTCGGAAATTATCCATTTCTTCGATTTCCTGTTGACTTTCTATACGAAAAAAATTTGATTTATCACTAAACTAGTTCCACGGCGCACTAAAGTTCAAATATCTCTCCCCTCAGCGATTAATTCGCCAGGATTTGTCTGCATTTTCAAGTTATTAAGTGAGATCCCTGAATTTTAAGGAGGGCGAGCTTTCTTAAGACGCTCGTTGAATAAAATGCTTCGGGGTTTTCCGGCTGTTTGATTCGCTTTGTAAAAGCTTTGTATATCGAACAAGAGAGTGCATTTTTGTAAAGTTACAATAAAGAGGGCGCCATTGTTGCGAGGCTCTTTATCTCTACTAATGTCAATCAATACTACACTGAATGAACCTACTTTCATTAATCAGTGTAGTGTAAAAGCTTTCGTGAGTTGGGGTGGTGAACTAAAATAGATCGACACGGTATATACACGAATCTTTTCTTAACGCCCTAAATCCTATAATCCGAACAAAAAGAGCCTAAAAACGCAAAATATCATATCGTACCTCCGATCTTTCTTGACAGTCATATGAACAACCGTAACTGTATTCCATGCGTTACTCTAATATATGAGACACGTGCGTAGAATGCAGGTTATATAACAAATAAACTTTGAACTCAATTACTTGATTCATGCAAGCACTTTTTTGTTCCTCTAAAAACTTATGTCTCCAAAACAATTATTTGAAACCCACCGTTTCTTGTCATCTTAAGTGGAAAACAAAATGTTCTCAGACACCTGGAACCTCGAAAATAAACGAAAGAGACTTGCGTCCTCTAATGACTCATTGGTCCAAGTACCCCTTGAGTACACTACACGCATCATTACATTTCAAGAGTTTCGACCAGAGTCGATTATTGAATAAAAAAAGTCGGCATTCCGACAGAGCAGTCACGGAGACAAACTTATAATTAACTTTTTAAACCTTCGAGCTATTTCAAAAATATTTTCCAATAGTTTAAATAGCAACACGCAACCCTAGAACTTCCATCTGAATGATTTGCACGCGAACGTCCTCTGTCACCTCACAAACTTTCTTCAGTACTAGACGTTCGCAACATGTTTAAATTAACAGACTTTTCATAGCTGTATATGAAAAATTAAACGCAATTCCTTTCAACTTTCATTCTATTGAAACAGTACGGTTCCTTTTGATTCTGAAATTCTCCAATGAAACTCCTACTTGAAACAAACACTGATTTTTGACGACTCGACCTAGTATAGCCGTTTAAAAAACTCGGATTTCGCTAATGTCATTAGCAGTTTAATGAATGACCCAGTTTTAACACTCTCCAAAATCCGTAAGAAAATGTGCGGCCAACTTTGATTTTTGGTCGCGAACAACGATAGCTACTTGTGTGAAAGGATATCGTGCATGTAGTTTTTCAACCGCATTCGAGAAGGAGTCAACCCTTAATTTGGATGATATTCGCTTTTTAAATGTAAAACATTCAAACCACCGAAAAACTCCCTAGCATCAAAGAAATTCTTTCCATTCTTATATTTCGCATGGGAGCGAAGTTGTCTTTTGATCATATTACTACATCAACCTGGTTATATCCACTTGCAGTTTTTATTTCTGCAAGACTTTTCGCCGGTCCATCGCGGAAACTTGTCTGACTGAAATCGCACATTCCGCCTCAGGGCGTAAATTCAGTAAAATTCCACTCTCAAACTTCTTTTATTTTTTAGAACAAATCTAAAGTTTGACCTTTGTCTTTGGCGATCATTTGGCATGTCCAGCGCGTCTGTAAAAATTGCAAATTTTCTTAGACCAAGAACAAAAAACCTTTCTCTTTCACCCCACATGGTCATCCGAACTGAATCAGGATTGGGACGAATCTCTTTCCTGCTTCACAACTGCGTAGTCATCGCAGATAAAGATCGTTTATTTGTAAGTATTTTGGATATGTTTCATTCGGCGCTCCTGGAAATTTAGCAGAGAGACAACATAAGCTGTCTTCGTCCAGGGGCTTGATTATCATGTGATCATATGAATAAAGGTCACGCAATTGGAAACGGTGTTCATTGTTTTGTAGTAATTACAAATGTGTGTTTTAAGGTAAAGTGTGAATCATTATTAACGTGCCTAATGGTACTGTGCAGCTGGCAATACGCGATTATTGGTTCCACAACAAATATAAATATCATCTATGGGTCGGTGAAAGAAAGTCAACTACATACATGTGTGTATCTATATGAAAAAAAAACTATAGTAATTTCCCTTATTTAAGTAAACGAAAGAACACAATGGATGATTCTCTATCAATCACATTATCTCAATTAATCAGGTTATTTTCGAACAGGGACAACTAAAAGAACTGTCTGGGGGTGACTTTTGAAGTGCCGCTAATGATGGAGAGAATAAAACCTTTGCCTCAACTTGCATGTGGGACTAAGCAAATTATTGAAACTCGTTTCTTCTCATGCAAAATGGTTGTAACTTAAGTAGCAACTGAAATTCGTCATTTTTGTGTGGAAATATTTTTATGAAGTTGATACTACACTCATCCCGATCTGTAAACGTGGCGACGTCTCGGTCTGCCCACGGTTAAATTTTACTCATGGCAAAACATTTAAATCTTCCAAATCCTTGCCATCCTTTTCGTGTTTGATTTATTTATTTTATACCAATCTTTGTGAGTCAATATCAGTGACTTCTTTCTCGCTGGAGGTAACTTCCCACTTAGTAACAAAGGACTTTGAAAGACTGAGACCTAGAGCGTCTTGAATAATGCAATCCGGCTGCATTTGTGTAAGCTTCTTTCTTTTGATCTTTGGCTAATTCTCTCTCTCTGCTCATCTGCTAACGGTGGTTCAAATTAAGTTCTAAGTTCTGTTACAGCAGGAACATGCCACGGTTAAGGAGGGAAATAGTAACTATATTTTTCAACAGAACAGGAAGAAGTGTGCAGTTTCGTATCGTGCTTCCTTTGTTCGATCCGACTTTCAAACAAGCTCATGACTCGTTTCATTTTACTACCAAAAACAGCAAATCGCATAACCTCTATTAATCCTTCTTGTCCGAATTAGCCTCGTCTGACCTGAAGCAAATTTTAACTTTATTGAACTTTGGACAAAAGGTTCTGGCTATCATTTTTCTAAGATATGTCATGGCCTGACATATTCCGGCATCTAAAAATTCCGCAAAATATGAAGGGCTATGTTGTCTTTTTCTTAACGATATTATTCCAAATGGAATTAAATTTTAGGAATTATTGATCATAATATTACAGCTACTGCTATCTTCTTATTGATTGCAAGATTATGTCCGACTTTATTGACCCTTTAACTGTTTATTCAAACACTTGAAAATTTCTTTAGTTAGATCTCAACTCAAAAATTGCTCTACAATGAAATAAATAATGTCTGACCTGTAGATGGTAAGTAACAAAGCGAACGTCACAGCAAAACGGCAATCAAAGCAGTTTCGATACAGAAGGTAAGCCCAAAGCAAGGTTCTCAGGACTTGACAGGGCCTATTTTGCCGCCAAGCTCTACACGCAATTACAAAACCATGAATTTCATAAATTACCATTTTCTATCATCATTATTTTTAGACCAAAATGTGAACTAGCTAGCCTCACTTTCTCGAAAAAAAAATTGAAAATATAATTATATAGTTAAAGCTTCTTACGATATTCATAATACTGATTAAGTGCGTTCCAACACGTGGCTGAGAGATTTTAGAAATTAAAGTAGAAAATAAATCACTCTATAAAATAAGCCGATAAAATGGATAACTGTATTATATTTTTGGCAAACTGTAATGCTCACAAAGCATCTCTCCACCCAGGAGTATGAGAGGTTACTACCAGACTGCCTTGGAAGCCTAACAAAATGGTCGGTGATGACGTGGGTTGAAATTTGAAA